AGGAGGGCGTTCCTTGATAAATTAAACAAAGCAAGACGTCAAGCAGCCGGGGTTAGTTATGGCTCATCTCGAAAACACAGGCCGCTGCCGAGTATGTGCAGCCACACGATTATTTAAATTCTTTGGTAGGGTTGTGGTGACTAATGAGGTTTTGTCGACGGGTGTTGGGGTTTCAGGTCCTCATTATGCTAGTTCCCCATTTGTCCAAAAACGTAACCTGCAGATAAGTTGGCCATAAATAAAGCGAGGGCCTTGCTTATGCAAACGTATTAAAGACAGAATGGGGGGAAATCCAGCTAAACTGCATTGCCTTTTAGTAGGATGCACCTGCACGCTTTTTTTTAATTTTTTTTTTGTGCAAAATTTGCAGAAAGTTCTAATGTTTCTGCTTTTAGGCTTCCGATTTATTTGGACTGTTTTGGGGATTTCAGTGGGAGTTTTAGTGATTAATCTGTTTTACAGGTTTCAGTGCTGTGTTTTGGTTTCAATGTTTTTGTCTTCTGGTCTGATTTACTGCCCTTCATTTCTGACCTGACAGGCTGCTGGCTGGCTGTACTATCTGTGACCACAGGTGCTGTAGCTAATCTCAGTGGCAATACCAGGAAGTAACTCATACTGTACAAGTTTATGCCATGAAGGCCCGACTCTCTGTTTTTAGGTCGGCTGGTGCATCTAGAGTTCAGCTGGTGCTGAAAGTTGCATTAAAAAATGTAAGAGTAATACAGTTCATTTGGCTGTGCTCAATGTGCTGCTGTTGTAATGGTGTTTAATAATAAATGAGTGTCTTATAAGTGTTGCAGAGCATCTTGTTTGCTTAGAGGCTCAGCTCGCAGGGCTGAATTGGCTCCTTGGTAGTATCATGTTCCTGTAACAGAGTTCACAGTCCTTAAGATAGGCACTGTGACTTTGATACCAAGACCAGGAAGTGGCTGGGTGGTAAGTTTTTAAGTGTTTACAGACACACTGTCACATGTGCTCCATCAACAAATCAGAGGTCTTGCAACACCACCTGGCACAGCATGGTTGCTTAACAGATTGAAGTTGCAGGCCCTTTAAAAGTTTGTGCTGAGAGGTGTGGACTTCATGTCCTGTCTTGTGTTTAGGTGGAATAATAGGCACTTGTGAAAGGAAGTTAACATTGAAAAGACATCTGTGGTATTACAGCAACAATATCTCTCTCTTCCCCCCTGTCAGCTTTATTTTCAAGGCAATCCACAATGGACTCGAGGTCTCGCAGGCTTCCGTTTTGTCTGTCCAGCTCAAGGTCGTCCTACATATCCAGTCCTGCGCATTCAACAGTCCCATCCTCATCGCTGGGCTCCAGTAGACTATACAGCAGGGAAACGGCGCTGAATAATGACCGCTTCCCAAGGGCGTCATCGTCTTACAAGGCAGATGTCGACAAACAGGTAGGTAGGCTGATGGCACAGCAAAAAATGGCTAATGCAGGGAATTTGTACACTTCATTTTACACCATGCACACCCCCTCCCAGACCCTTTGCATACAATATGTACAGCCAAGTGCTAAGTTAAAGAAAGAACCTGAATTCTTGATTGCTAAGTGAGGGGTGATTAAGTTATCGGTTGTATTTTGCTCTCATGGTTTGGGTGCACTTAGGGAGTCAGCAGCTTTTACCCTATGAAGCACTTCTCTCTCTCTGTGTATGTGTGTATGTATGTGTGTGTTATTATTTTATTTCTTTGAATAAAGCAGTTAAATGTCACTATTTTATCCCAATTGGGTGAAATTTCAGCGGGAAAGCTGCTGGTTTAAAATTGGATACAACGATCGGTTACAACAGCAGCTGCTCCTAAAATCTGCCTCCCTACTTTCTCCTCTACTACCTGGGGCTCTAGTGAGCTGCCTTTCTAGCGTATTCCATGGCATTCAAGTCAGCTCTTTTTCTCACAGGTTCCCTTTAGTGCATGATCCAAACTACGTATATCAGTAGTGCAACAGGAGACACACTGGAGGTCTTTTTATAGGGTAGCCTAGATTCCTTGGCACATGATGTGCGTATTTCAGTCCCA